TTGTACATGCTTCTCTTCGATATTTTTTATCAAAGCATACTTGATAAGAAAGTTAAATGAATGATAGACAACCTTTATTAAATGCCTCCAGTAAATTGTCTATTGATGATGTTGCTAATCATGGGAGCAAGAAACAACTTTTGATAAATAGGTATGATCTAATAAATGACTAACTTCAAGAAAAATACAATGAATTTATAATTGTTCATAGTTTTTCTGATTGGTGTCGATGTTTCAGTAGAAAAGAGAACAGTAGTAAATATATAAAACTAGATGATGATAGTGAACATAATGATAAAGATGAAGCAGTTGATGTTTTCCATTTAGTAAGTATATTCAGAAGAAATCCAAACTGATCCATGTATTCAGTTTTATTGTAGTTTCGGTTTGCAAACCGTACCGATTTTCTTCTGATGTTTATTGCTATATGTTTGATGTTGCTGCGGATGGTTTGCATTCTAGGCAAACAAATTCTCATCGGCCGACTCACAGGCATATTTGCTATTAAATCATTTGGCGATTATTGTAATGATCAACAACAAAATTTTACAGCTCCAATAAAGAGCAACAATATATATTCTCAAGACATCGACCTCAATATATTCAATAGAGGTCTTTCACACAAGTGAGTAACTAAAAACTATTGTTAGTTACTATGTATTTCTTCTATTTTCCTTTGACAATTGTTCACCTCAGACTACATTATAATAGTTCTCTAATTTTATCATCAATGTTACCTACATCAATGCCTTCATTTCGAGAACAAGTTATGAACATAATTCGTTGGTTATTCAGTAAGTAATATGAACGTAATAATCTGATTATAACAAATAATAGATATTGTCTTTTTTTTCTTGTCGATATAGTTATCGGTACCGCCGATTATCTGGCCGATATTATTAAAAATTTCATTTGGAGCATTAGTGTGAAACGACAGATATTTCGTATGAATGTTTCCCTCTTTCGATCACTTGTTCAACGCGTAAGTCAAGTACACTTCCATTTATAAAAAAGGACTTCAAAGTTTAATTTCAGTGTTTTTTGTAGCATCTCAGCTAAAGCATCTAGAAAAAAGCTATGTATGCCATGATTATAGATTTCAAAAGTGTATAGCTAAGATGCGCAATATTCGATTACCTCTGAAAAGTATTTGTTTATTTTGAAGATCTAACTGTAGAAAAAAAATTTCCTGATTGCTCTAGGCATCATTATTTGTCCAGATAGTTTTAAAGATTATTCATAAAACCCCAAAACCTTCGAAAACCAAAACTATTTTTATAAATTCGTACATTAGGCAACTCTGACAACATGTTTGTGTGTATATCACAGAAAAACATTTTTTTGAAGAAAGTCGAGTTTTCTAGATGGACGGAGTCTTAGTACATTACTTACTTAGAATTAAGAGAATGAGTGGCTTGAATGAACGTAAATACTATTCCGTTCAGTGTTTCTTGATCAGAAAAGTTTTTTTTGCAAATAACGATTTTTTTAAATGAAACTTGACTAAAAGTTTTCAAGATCAAGGAATCTGAATCTTTATAAGATTTTTCGAAACTCACGAGTCACGTTTTCTCAGACCTTATAATCAGAGGTTTTTATATGGTTAGTCAAATTTTATAAAAAAAAATGAAATGCTATTTTTGTCAATGCACCTTTTCTGACTGAAAAAAATTGATTGGAATAGTATAATTCTCACGTAAACCACTCATTCACTGAATTTTAAATAAATTATATACTACCAGAAAAAATGTAAACTTACCATTAACGGTTAGATGACCTGTTGACCGTTAACAATAACGACTAATGTGATGCCATTCACCCATTTTTTTTATTAATATTAATGATAAAATAATTAGTCAATGTTTAATATAAAATTATTGTAAATGACCTACCTCTTTCATATGGGACTCGTTATAGATACAGGGATATCAGTATAGATATAGGTGGATAGACATAAATTTAGAAGGACAGGCTGATAGGATAGATTAGGAATATACATTGAGCAATTACATTAAAGAATTATATTAAGCAAATTGATATAGATTTAGAGAGATAGATTGAAAAGTTAGACTAAAGCCATAGATTAAGGAGATAGATATACATTAAGAGGACAGATAAAAGGTTGGATCAAGAGGACAGATACAGATTTACAGGAATACATTTAGGAAAATATATTAAGGAGTTGAAGATAGGCAACTAGATTTAGTGGAATAGGTGTATACAGATTAAGATAGGCACAGATCACCGATGGGCATAGAACAACAGAGAAACAGTTATTCAGTGCCAATTTATAGTACAAATATAGTAGTAGAGGTATAGATGGATGAATTGGCATAGACTTAGTGGAATTGCATCGAAACTCGTATGAAATTTTGACTACAAAACCCGGAACCTTTTTAATTTCCACATGGTATTTTTTTTCCAGTGTGAAGCATGACTATTTATAGCCAGAGTTGGAGCAGAATTTTCAAAAAACATAAAGTTGGAGTTGGATCTGAATTTAGAAAATGTAGATGAAGCCAAATTTTGGTAATAGGAATGTAGTTAGAGTGAGGCTATGCCGAATCTGGCCATCTCTATTTGTTTCCATCTCTCTGTTTTTAGAGCATTTCTTATATGGATTCCAAACTAATCAGTCAACTCCATGCTAAACTATTTGAGTAAGTCATTGCAATGTTGTGTATCAAATAACTACGTCTCATTCAATTCTTGTACAGTAACATTGCAAAGATCGATAAAGGAATTGGTTTGGAATTATTAGGACTCATGGTAACATCACTCAGCTTCATTGGTTGTTTGATAGTGTCTTTTGTTTTCAACTGGCAGCTGACTTTGATCATGTCATGTTTGGTACCTTTAGTCATTGGTAGTTCCTTTATGTTTTCTAAGGTAAAAAATATTTTTCAATCAATGAAATCTGTATGAAATTTCACAGCTTACTGCTAATGCAACAATGAATGAGTTAATGACATATTCGAAAGCGGGACAAATTGTTCAAGAAGTGTTTAGTTCACTGAGAACTGTTCTCTCGCTCAATGCTTGCAAGTTTGAGCAGAAACGGTAAACAAATATATAAAAATAGTTTACTTATTTAATATCATAAAACATGTTGTTCTATTTATTGCATTTAGATATGAAAGAGAATTGCATTCTACTCGTTGGAATAGTATACGACAAGGTGCGGTGTTTGGAGCTTTTACTGGATGGCTATCTTTGATAGCCTACCTAGCTTATTCAGTTGGTTTTATCTCTGGATCTCTTTTCATGTCAGACAGAGTTTATCATAGTTCGAATATTAGTGATATTCTTATCGTGAGTAATTCATATAATCTATCATTATGTAAATGAATAAAGGACTACTATTTTAATGTAGGTCGTCTTCCTCTTTGCAGATTGTTTGTATTATTTCAGTCGCATTGCTCCTTTTTTTCAATCGTTTTCAGAAGCTCGAGGTGCAGCAGCAGCGGTCTTTCGACTTATTGATGAGGTAAATTCGAATAAATTGAGATTTAATATCGGTGGCAATATTTTGTATTTGTTTGCATGACATAGGGAAATGACGCAAGTATCAATGAAGCAGATGTATGGAAAGATGATACAGAATCAATTCATAATATCAATGGCGATATTGAATTTGATAATGTCAACTTTATTTATCCATCTCGAAAAGAAGCGCCAGTTCTGCGAAATCTCTCTCTTATTGCTCGTGCTGGTCAAACAACAGCTCTTGTAGGTTCAAGTGGCTGTGGTAAATCTTTTCCAAAAAAAAAAACTAAGAATGTAAAAATGATCTCATTTGTATTTATTAATTATTCATAGGAAAAAGTACATGTATCTCACTGTTTCTTCGTTACTATGAACCGTCATCGGGTCGAATAACGATCGATGGTCGACCGATAACAGACTACAATGTCAAACAACTTCGAGAAAACATTGGAATTGTTAGTCAAGAACCCGTAGGCTTTATTTTTGGTTTTTGTTTTGTTCCTTGCTATTTAATTTACTATTTTAATAGATATTGTTTGATATGAGTATTTATGAGAATATTCGTTTTGGTAAAGTAAATGCAACACGAGAAGAAATCGAGCAAGCAGCACGAGAAGCTAATGCACATCATTTCATCATGCAATTACCAAATGTTTGTGCCAAATATTCATCTTTATCTTTATCTATATCTATATTGTATCGAAGTTAGTTCAAATCAACTAAATATCAAATAATTATCAATTAATTGATGATATTAATAGCAGAATATATAGTTGTAGTTAATTTTTCATCTTAAAAACACATATCATTTTTACGAATAAACATAAGAGAAACTATTGAGAAAAAGGAAACATTACCTTTTTGTTCATGCTAAACATGATTGTAGATCTATTTAGACAGTACTAAGTTTTGTGATCAATGAAATAGATCTCTAAAATACTACGCCCTAATTTATACAACACTTTAACTTTATATTAATAAAAAAAAACTATTCATACAAGAACAAGTGAAATGCTTACCAGACTCAACTTCACACTAAGTCAAACAAAGAGTTCATCTGACTGGATTTTTTTCATATTTACCACGTTTTAGTGTTACTGAAATATCAGTCCAATATCAATGAGATTTATTGGACGTATTCAAACACTCGGATGTATCTTTCATAGTATATAATATATTTTGACTGCACTAGAAGAAAACAATAGTCTGGAAGTACTATTTTGTATTCTGAACTATTTTTTGTCACTTTGATTTTGTCTTGGCTTTCTCCCCTTAGCTAGGTGCTCACCTCATCCATATTATTAGTCTTAACATTTTATGTCAAAATTAACGCCATGATTCACAGAAAGAGATCTATTTCATTGATCATAAAACTTAGTATTGTTTAAATAGATCTATAATCATGTTTAGCATGAACAAAAAGGTAATGTTTCATTTTTCTCAATAGTTTCTCTTATGTTTATTCGTAAAAATGATATGCGTATTTTTAAGATGAAAAATTAACTATAAGTATATATTTCGATTTAATATCATCAATTAATTGATAATTATTTGATATTTAGTTGATCTGAATTACCTTCGACACAATTATATGACGGAATTATAACTTCGTCGATTGATATAACTTCGATACAACATATATATATATATGTATAATTATTTCTTGTTTAGAAATATGAAACACTTGTTGGTGAACGTGGTATACAGTTGAGTGGTGGTGAAAAACAACGTATTGCATTAGCTCGTGCTCTTGTTAAACAGCCTACATTTCTTTTACTGGATGAAGCAACAAGTGCACTTGATAATGTTAGCGAAAAAATTGTTCAAGAAGCACTTGATCGAGCATGCAATGGTAACAATTGTTCTTTTCTGCTTATCATATTGATATAGCATTTTGTATAGGTCGTACAACTATTGTAATTGCTCATCGTTTGACTACAATTCAAAATGCTCATCAAATATATGTATTAGATAAAGGAAGTGTAATTGAACAAGGTACACATGAAACATTGATGGCAAAAGAAGGAGGAAAATATCAAGCAATAGTCAAACGTCAACAAATGGAAGGAATCTATGATAATGAAGATGACATGATGAGCATGCAAAAAGCAACAGAAGAAGATGAACAGTCGATACGTATATTAATATTCTTATAGTAATAGTCTTCACATTTCTTTGTTTTTTTTTCTTGAATAGTTGATCGCTCTCGCTTGATTAGAGACAGCCAAATTGTTGATGTGAACAAAGTATAGATATGACTACAAGTTATTTATAAAAACTATTCTTGATAACCTCTCTTTTAGAAAATTACAAAATCATTTAGACAAAGATTTGTCTTCTTAAGACTTTTATCAATGAATAGTCCTGAATGGATTATAATCTTAATTGGTTATATAATGTGTGTACTTAACGGAGCAGCTCAATCATTGTTCGCATTTTTACTTGTCAAAATAGTTGAGGTGAGTGATGCATCCATACAAACATTGTAGAATAGGGTTGATCATTTGTATTGGTTTTTGTTAATTTGTTCATTATATAGGCTTTCAAATATTGTTCAACCTCTGAACGACGTCATCACGTGTTGCTTACTAGTTTTCTATGTTTACTCTTGGGTGTTGTTTTATTTATTCTTCGTCTCATTCAGGTAAATAGTCTGTTTGTGAATTCGATCAATGGTTTATTTACTCTTTGCTATAGTATACAGCTTTTGCCATATCTGGATCAAAATTGACACAACGTATTCGTTCGAAAGCTTTTGCATGTCTTCTTCGTCAAGAAGTTGCTTATTTCGATCGACCTGAAAATAGTTCTGGTGCGATTTGTACGCGTCTTTCAACTGATGCATCAGCTATTCAAGAGATGACTGGTACACGATTAGGAGTTGTCTGTGAAGCTCTCGCCCTGTCGTTTTTTGGAATTCTCTTTGGATGTTTCATAAGTGGGCAACTGACATTGATCATTTTTGGTTCTTTGTTTATCCTATGCTTAGTCGCCTATGGCGAAGTATGTTTACGTCTAAGGTGGAATCAAGAATCTAATCACATGATCAGACGAGCAAGCACAGTAAGATTACATTTTAGCTTATAACCTTTTATTTGTAGAGAAAATTATTTTATTATGAATTGTTCGATAAATCAAATTACTATATTTATTTCATCTTTTACTTCTTCAGCTTGCTGCTGAAGTTATTCACAATATGCGTACAATAAAACAGTTATCAATAGAAAAGGAAGTGTTACGACAATATTCTGAACTTATTCATAAACTATTTATGTTAGTCAACTGAATCTTATACATGTATAAGTTTTTAATCACTCTCGTTTTGTCATAGATCGTCTTGGAAACCTTTATTACTATCTTCAATGGCGTTTGGTATATTTTGGACACTAGATGCATTCACTATGGCATTTCTGTATTGGCGTGCTCTCATCCTTATTGAAAAGAATGAACTCACGTCGAGCCATATTCTAGTGTAATTCACATCACAGTTGATCATTTCGAGACGATGTTTCGTTACTTTTTCGATTTATTAGGGTCTTTGCTTTTACTGTTTTTTTGACACAAGCACTAAAAGTCCTCGCGATGACGTAATACTCTCTATTTCTATTCGATTGGTTTTTTTCCTCTACGGTCTTCATTCTAGATCTAGGCATATTGCTGCATCAATCTCAGCTGCTGAAGCATTTTTTGATTTATTTGATCGAAAACCAACTATCGACAATGCATCTACTGAAGGACAAGAACTGGTAGGAGAACACAGAAAATTACTATTTTTTTTCAATCATGCACATGCCATTGATACACTATCATTCTCATAGGTTGATTTTCGTGGAGAGATAAAATTTGATCAAGTCAAATTTATCTATCCAACTCGCCCAACATCAATTATTCTTAACAAACTTCAATTGAATATCAAGCCAAGTAAGTGTGATAAGTTTTGATTCAATCATTTGTTTTAAATGTTTATTCACTGATAAGGTCAACATGTGGCTCTTGTTGGTATGTTTGAATTGGACGTTTTTCTTTAGAATGTTAATAATGTAATATGATCAGTATAGGTGGATCTGGATGTGGAAAATCAACAATTATTCAACTGTTGGAACGATTCTATGATGTTACAAGTGGTAAAATAGTTAGTATTTCTTCAATCTATAGTTTAACTATTTAGTTATATAAAATTTGTTCATTCAATTTAGCTTATTGATGGTATTGATATTCGAAAATTAAATCTTCAATGGGTTCGTTCTCATTTTGGTCTTGTTAGTCAAGAGCCAGTTTTATTTGATTTAACAATTGCTGAAAATATAGCATATGGATTAGAGAATGTTTCAATGGAAGACATTATCAATGCAGCAAAAAGAGCTAATATTCATCAATTTATTGAGCAGTTACCTCAGGTAAAGCGATAGAAAATTATATTATGTATCAATTCCTATTGCGTAATAAATTCTTTTAGAATTATGAAACAAAAGTAGGATTGAAAGGTAGTTTTCTGTCAGGTGGTGAGAAGCAACGTATTGCCATTGCTCGAGTTCTTATTCGTCGACCCAAAGTATTGCTCTTGGATGAAGCTACAAGTGCAATGGATTCACACAACGAACAAGTAAGTTTATTTGTTTTTCTGTTCATGAATTAAAGCTTCATCTTTATTTTTCAATTTTAGATTGTACAAGAAGCTCTTGAACAAGCTCAAAGAGAAGATCCCAGTCGAACATCACTCATTATTGCTCATCGTCTTTCAACTATTCGTTCATGTGATTTGATTTGTGTACTTGATAGGGGACATATCGTGGAACGTGGTACTCATATAGAGTTGACACAACGATGTGGAGCTTATTATAAAATGCTTGCTCATGACAATTTACAATAATTCTTAGTGAACTATTTTCAAGATGAAAATATGTTTTTTGAAACATTAAGAAACAATTTGCCTTAAAAAAACTGACGCATGACGCAGTTATTTCGATTATTTTTCGGTACACTTTTAATGTTTAATAAGAAGTTGAATGTATAATCGAGTTACACTATATTACATCAATTTTTTTCAATTTATTAGTCACATATAAAGATAGCACAGACAATGATGATCTCAACAACTACTTTCGAGTTTGATTAATTTATGCAAAAAAAATTTAAGTATAAAAATAACTTACTAGCTGTATACTTTTCCATATGGTGATGATCGCCTAAAACTCAACCATTTCATTGTGATTTGTTAGTCCAATTAATTGTGAGATGATATGGCGATGAAATCGTCCGAAAAGACGGTTTCCTCTGATTTCTTCTCGAGTTTTATTCAGTCTCGCAATTTTTTAATGAGTTTTTATGATCTATATTTTATACTCTACTCAAACGCTCTTCAACAGTCGGATCAACTGATGACTACCGTCAGTTTGATATGTGATAAATCTTATGCACGTGGCAATGAGGATCACATGAAGTTTTCCAATCTATATGGGAGAAATGAAATAGAATATTGCATGATTTTTGTCAAAGACAATGCTTAACAACTGCAACACTGTAATAAGAATAAGTTGTCAAGAAATATATTAAGCGAAAATTTAGATGGGATTTCCAATATTAGTACCACTTGTTGATTGAATTGATGGGCAAAAAAATTTGAATAAGCATATAATAGTTTTAACAGCAGCTGCAAAAGTCATTATTTTATTAGAATTTTATTTACTTATCTTTGAGTCGACGCGTTTTGAGCTGATATGGGTGTCGGTGTGGGTGTGGCTGTGGCTGTGGAAGAGGACATTCACACCCACACCCACACACCCACACACCCACATCCACACCCATACCCACACCCACATCCACACCCACACCCACACCCTTATACTTATTTCATTGAATGTTCTTTTAGCCCAAAGAGAATCTTAATTTTCATGAATCTGATACAAACCAAAGAAAACTGATTATTTTTTCTATCTTGATCACATGATTTATCATCATCGTTTGTTTCAATTGGCATAGATATTGTATCAACGTTACCATGATCATCATTTGGAACGTAAAAAAATTTAATTTTAATATTTAGATTTTAAAAATAAAATTCAAATTGAAGAGGATAGTTTGCTGTATATGACATACTTTTAGCAACTTTTTTTTTATCATTGTTAATGAGTGAATCAATCAAAAACAAATATCTCGTGTATTTTTCAAACGATCGCAGTATATACACCCGTGGGCAAAAGTCTTTCCCCCCATCTCTTTTCTTGGCAAGGTTTTCTCTGCTATTATAAGGACAAAACATGGTGTTGTTCGGGCCATATAAAAGAGGATCCCTAATAACCCCTAATCGACCCGAACAACACCATGTTTTGTCCTTATAATAGCAGAGAAAACTTTGCCAAGAAAAGAGATGAGGGGAAAGACTTTTGCCCACGGGTGTATAATGAACAGATCAGTAAAAAATCTAAGGAACCAGAAAAACATCATGAATGATAGAGGCACATCCCCAAACAATATCAAAGGAGGAGAATGCTTAGAGAATACAAGAAGATGAAGGAAAGAAAAAAAAGAAGAGAACGTCTATATGCATGTCATACTTGTACGACAGAAATGAAAGAAAAGATATATGAGCGAATAGCACTATAACAATCATCAAGATCAAATAGTGATTGGGATAAACCAAAATTAAAAATTCATGTGATTCGGAGCTCTGAATAGGTCAGCTATCGTGCGGATTACAACATCAATGGACGTGTGTTAAACAGAGACTTCGAATGATACAGCCTGTCAGATCCGAGAATTTTGTACACACATTCGAGCCGTACTCACTCTTAATACTTTTAATTAATCGACGAGCTCTGACATGATCTATTGTTTACGTAAGAAATGAAATTTTTATCATTAACATTTAACTTGGGACTAGTCGTTACAGTTGAAGATACTTGTGACTGATGTTGACTGTTTACGACATCAAATAATGTTATATTCTCGAGTAAAAGATCATTACGAGAGTCATTTGTTGGCAGTGTATTATTCGTTGTTGATGAAGGTGAAAGTAGATAAGTGGATTTATTCATATCATGAGTTGCAAATAAAGAACGTACGATATTACCATTTGGTAACCCAACTATATTTGTTAAAGAACTATTTGATGTTGGGATGAAAAGATCATCAATACTATATCTAGAGTAAATATTAC